CGAGTTCTATCATAGTGAAGTGGTTTGGACTTCGGTTCGAGCCAGTAGCTATTTTTAATAGCAATGTACGATGAGGCTTGGAAACGAGCAACTGCTCGGAAGCTAGCAAAGTAGCTGTATCTCAAAACCGACAAACGAAGCAAATACCAAGGAGATCAAGCCGTGATATTGGGACTGATACACGCATCATTCTCCTCACTGATTGACATGATCAAGCACGGAAAAAGGGAAGCACATTTTGTGGTGTATGTATAACATCCAAACAATTGCGAAAAACATTCCTTTCAAATAAGGGCGAGCTAAATGCCAGGGCGAGCAGACGCGTTTACAACATCGCGTGCTCAGATATACTCGGGCCGACTTAACCAGTCTCAACGCCGAGATACTAGTATATCGAGACTTTCATCATGATGAACAGTCGCTTTGTGACGATTCATTTTTGCAAAAGAAAATATGGTTCAGGTGCGTTTGGAAAATATATAAGGAAATTGAGATTATTGCTGGGGTTGGAATCAGGTGTTAAGACGGGGAATATTGCAAGGCGGCAATGGATGCACTTTGTCGTGCCAAATGATCAAGCAAGTGCTCACTGCACCGTACCATTTCCAGCAGAATATAATGGCGTAGCGGGTGAATCGGACGCTGATCAAAATAACGCGCTTGCATGCTGAAAAAAAGCAATTTAGACGCCTTTCACTGCTATGAGACGATAATAACAGCGGACATCTGTAAGGTGTTACCCAATACTCCAAATTCAAGCACAAAACCATTTAAAGTTGTATTTATGCAGAAATCGCGTCTAAAGCACTCGCAAGTGGTTGAAATTGTATGTTTTGCACTTGTGACCAAGGTGAAACACAAAAATGTAATGCGTTACTTTCTCAATCATATTAAGCAGTACAAGGGCTTTCAGCTACTCAATAGAGATGATGGACCGATCTTTATCTCCAGAAGTATAACCCTCGGCGAATGTCGGTCGAGAAAGGTGCCGAAAGACATGAGAAAGGTGATTGACGTTGTCGATGACGAAAGATCAGGAATACCGCAGAGGATACTGATATCGATGACAGCTTCCACAACCGACAGTGAACCCACACTGTAACGGGGTTACACGGACCTTGAATGAAAGCGCGGGTCGCACAAGAGTGTGAGACCGTACATAGGTGTGTATCACACAGTTGTGGGACCGTACATAGGTGTGCCTTACACAGTTGTGGTACCGTACATAGGTGTGTATTACACAGCTCGTTTAATCACACAGTACAGTGGCTACATCGTAGCAAGAAGCCATGACGTGGCAGGATTGCCAGTAGTAATGAATATTACTATGTTAATTAGGTTTTGCTATATTAATTAGGTTATACTACATCAGTTTGGAAAAACCTAAGTTTTAAGAAATTGGTGGCTCTGCCGCGACTAAAACAATTCTATACAGTTTTGTCTTTGAATAGAAGTGTTCGTTTGCCTTGGTAAGGCGTTAAACTAAAAGTTGCGGATTGCAATCCGCTACACTTGTACTGGTCCTTTAAAAGAACGTTTGGTCGGTACCTTAGCTAAACTTCCTCTAAGCAAAGAGCTACGGCAGCCCCGCTGCACGCGTGATGAATCAACTCAACCAAAGTATAACAGACCGACTCACTCAGGGATCAAGTGCGTCTAGCAGGAATGAAGAAGAAGAATGGATAATATGTCCAAAGCTTAGTAGACGTGATATGTGTGAAGACGAGTTCACGGGCATGCCGTGAAGACGGTTCAACCTGGATAAATGTGAATATACCTACAATTCGCACTATTGTGTTCACGACAAAGACGACGATGGGGAGCGCGTTGTGTCACATTATTAGGCCATGCAAAGAACATGCAAGAATGAATGGCTTTGTGCAACGAGATGAAGTCATTCGGGGGCACAAGACGTGGAAGTCGTGAAAATACCAGAGACTAATAAAGTTATTGGGCGCGGATGAGCGCTATTCATCAAGCGCGATCCAACCGGGTACATTCGGGAGTTCAAAACACGCTTCGAGGCATATACGCTGCGTCGCGGTATCGACTATACGGGTACGTTTGCTTCAGTCGCGCGGAAGGGGTCGATAAATGCTACGCTAGAAATTGCAAGAGAAGGAAAATGAAGAATGGCGATGAGACGCCAATACGTCATTTCTGTATGGTGATGTAAAAGAAGATAACTATATAAATCATCATGACGGCTTACAAAAAATCAAGTCAACTGGGAGATGAAGTGCTTACTGCAGCAAGCACTCTACAACACGAAGCAAACAGCACGTCGATGATACAACAAACGGAATTAGCATTGCGGAGATTCAAGCGCACAGATGCAAACCCTTGCGTCTACGTCTGCCAGCCAACCACTGGGTACAGCATCTTTTTCATTTGTGTTAACGACAGCATGCTATTCAGCATGACAAAGACAAATTTCAAATCGATCAAGCGCACTGTATCAAGGAGCTCGGTGAGCTGAAGTATTGTTTTGATATCGAGACTCATCGCGACAGTGATGACAAATTTATAAAGAAGAACCAGCAGGCTATGTCAAGCGGCTTACAGATACTGATGTTGACAAGAAGTTTAAAGTAGACATATTCAAAGACGTGCACTTTCCGCCTGACAGTAAGTTAAAACTAGTGAAGCCATCGAAAGAGGCAGCGTTAGTGGCAATGTACCCGTATCGAATGCTGATTGTTAAACTGATGTTTGTGGCAACAAGCATACAACCGGATTGTGCGCATCCAGTGGGTGATGTGTCAGCGCTACAAAAAAATCCCTGGGTGGTGGCGAAGCACATTCCCAAGTATCTGAGGACAAATCAAAACCAGGGCATTGTTCAATGACGCGAGTGAGAGGTACTCACAAGTCATGCGCATGCAAACTGAGATGGTGACTTGGATACGAATGTTCAATAGCTGGCTGCGTTTTTTTCTGAATGGAAACGCAATCTCGTGGAAGCGCAAGAGGTAGCTGACAGTAGTATAGAGACCGAGTTTGCGAGTCTATACAGGTTGACACACGAGGCGATTCGGCTGTGTGTGCTTCTTACGAACATGTTTTTCGAGGACCAGGACGCCAGACTGATTCTTCAAGTCAACCAAGGACGTATTGTGCAGGCCAAAGTATTACTCACGTACGAAGCACGTCGACCTTAAGTTCCACTTTCTGCGCGAGCTGATCAAGCGTGTGATAACTCGGCTAGAATACAAGTCGACGGGATGGAATGATTGCTGGCGAATGATA